TGAAGTAAGTTCAGAATAAGTTCTGACCTGAAATAAACTCAGACCTGAACCGGGAAGCCTCAGTTCCCTGAGAACTTGGATGTTCTTCTGCAGTGATTTCTATCATGAGACTGACAGTTCCTTGAACCCTATTAAACGTACATAAGTAAGCTTGTGTAACAAGGCTGTGTAACTAATAATGTTGTATGTAAAGAATAGAATGTTTAATAGGCATGGAAGGACAGGTACGATTCCAAAAAGGGCTGAGCTCGGGGAACATAAAAGTACTGTAAATATCGTGATGAGGTAATTTGGCTTGAGAAGAACATTTTCTTTTCCTCTTGTTGTACTATAAATACGGTTGATTCTTAGAATAAAGCATGCATTGGTTCACACGCCTCTGCATCCCCTGCATCCTGATTTCTTCTGCGCCTATGCCTCAGGGACCCCAAGCCCCTCAGGCTTGAATTGTGGTCACTGACCAGTGACAGCTTTATACTAATTAGATTCAACAGTTGAAATGCAGAGAGAGAAACATGGTTATAAATGCTCTGTTAAATATTAAATCTTTAGTAAGAGAGAATCCTACATATTTTAGAAATGAATTTCTGTTTTTACTTCTGACTTGTATGCATGAAGACATATTTCACTGCAGAATTTGTTTTTGAAATATATATTTCTTCTTCTAATGTCAGTAATTCACTTCTGTACTCACTGGACAGAGATAAACAAAATTTGAATTTCTGACATTTTGTTATTTTATCCTTTATGTGGCACTAGAGGGTCTGTTTTCTGATCATGTCTCTTTGGAGCTCTAAATGCCTCCTGTAGTTGTACACTCATTACTCCTTATATTTGGGAGATTTTCCAGTGTGGTTTCCTTGAATAGACTTTTTGGCACCTTTGTTTTGAGCTAGAGCTTCCTCAGCTGCCCTTGGATTCTTAGGTTTGAGTTCTTATCTTTCAGAATCCTTAAATGTTGTAATAATGATTGTTTTTTTCTTTTTTTCATCCTGAATGTAACAGTTCATTGACCTGATATTTAATCTTTGATATTCTCTCTTCTGCTTCATCTGATCTATCAGTCATTCCTCCAGCTTGTATTTTTAACTTTTTAAAATTCATCTTAACTTACTATCTTAATTTTCATTCATGCTGTTTATTTATCAGATCTAGAATCAACTTATTTTTATATATTAATTTTATTATTTTAAAGTATGCATATATGTGCGTGGTGGGGGGTGGGGGCTATGTCCTTATATGTCCAGATGCTCATGACTATCAGAAGAGATGGTCATTGGATCTCCTGGAGCTGGAGTTGGAGGCAGTTGTGACCTTCCCCAGGGGGATGCTGGGAAAAAGCAAAAGCATTAAGTATTTTAAACTGCTGAGTCATCTTTCTAGCCTCTGACTGACTTCTTGGTTTATTTATCTCTGTTCTATTTGAGATCATTAATGATATTTCAAACTAGACTATTGAATTCTTCGACCTGCACTTCAGCCATTTCAAAATCTTAAAACTTAATTATTAAGGAGGAGCTAGGCACTTTTTCAAGAATGGAATTGCTTTACCTTTTAAACATTTCTTATGTTTCCCTGTTGCAACCTTTACACTTGTTGGGTTAGATATCACCTGCATTTTTAAATTTATTTTTATGTAATAACTGCATGATTAGAAGAAGCATTTCATTACAGCTTTAACATATCCAGTAACAATTTCCAGAGCAAGGATACATCTCTTTCAAAAGTGGCTGTAAATTTTTAGGTTTACAGTTGAATTAATACAGTTATACAATATTGAACTCAGTATAAACCCTGTAAAACATAAAACTGAATGACTTTTTAGCCTTTAAGAAGATCTCCATTTCATTTTAAAATATACTGTTTCCTACATTTTTAATATCAGTTACACTCAGATCCTTGGCACCTGAGTATGGAGGTAAAGTCATCAGGTAGATTTCAATGGTAATATTTATCACCTCTACTAATTAACATGAAGTAAATTTTTATGCTTCCTCCTCAAATATGTCTTTTTAAAAATTTGTTGATTTTTTTTGTGTATCTCATACAGAACATCCTAGACAATCTTACTCATCTATATACTCACTTCCCAAATGGCACCCTCCCATAGCCTCCCTCCTGCCACTGGAGCCCATATACTCTGTCATCTCTATTACTGTAGACTGTATTGTTGGTACCCCCAGCCATCCCCCAGTGCTTGTCCATCTGCTGAATCTAGTCAGCCTAACTAGAGATCCTTGTTTTAGGAAGATCAGCTGTTCCTCATCTAGCAGCAATCAGTTGTCAATTTTCTTTTGATAAGATTGGGGTCTGCTGTTCATTTTCCCAGTTTTATGCTGGGTTACTGTCTGTGAGTCTTTTGAGCCACCCTGGCCAATAACTCAAAGGTATCTCCTGTCTGGCATTGTTCTTGTTATGTAGCCTTTATCTATACATATGGACTCTTAAAAAATTATTGGCCTCATTAGTCTTTGGTTATACTTTCCTTTTGGGTGTTTAAGACCCTACAATTGGCCTAGATAAACCAATTTATTTTTATTCTTAAGGTCGTTTGAGTATCTGTTCCTCAGG